TTCGGGAGGAGGAGTGCTTTGAGGTGAAGTGTCTGGGACAAGTGCCTCAAGTGCCGCAGCTCTTCTTTGACAGTGTGGGCTGTGCGCAGCAGATGTCCGGGGTGCATGGTTGGGAAAAGGGAGTTGGATCTTCGACTCGTGCTTGCAACACGATCAATACGTGGCCCAATGTTGACGGGAAGGACGTTCACGTTGAACTTCAGGTTTAAACCTGGACGTGATGGTAAAACGCCTTGGGCCACGTACGCTCTATTGCAAATTTTGTAGCTATCACTCAGTTCGATTAGGGCCTCGCTCCACTACTCTCGGAATGTGCAAAACGAGAGTGAATCTTCCGCTAGAACATGGACAGACACACCGCCATGATTTTTGTCTTTTGTGCATGCACAGAGTTGTGGAGCGAGGGCCATAGTCTCGGCTTTTTCAGCAAAGCCTGCGTGAGGGGTAAAACGACCGCCAGCAGCATGTGGCAGATGTTACGTGGTGGAAAAGTGGCTGGGCATCGATCACCACTTCTCACACATGGACATGGAGTCAAAAGCGAGTGACTCCATTTGATTCAACGAACAATGTATATGCGAACGTTCCCCCTTGTTCAGTTCGCCGTCCCCACCCCTCTTACCTGTGCTAAGCGATGCGGTGCCACAATTCGACGCAGGATGTTGCACACAAGTGACACAACACAACATCCGGATTCCGAATTGCCTAATTGATTGGACTGCTGTCTACCTTCTCCTTCAACCAACCATGGAGACAGACGTTGCTGCGGGAAAAGGTAGGCACTAGCAATCGGTAGAGAGAATGATCGTCGGCCGCTCTCTGAATTCTATACGCAAGGTGCCACGCCGGACTAAAACGCGATGCATATCGCTTGTCATGTAAGAAGCAGCTTAGGACAGCCAGCTTGCCTCACTCGCAAATACTTAAGAAGATAGAGGGGTGGTGAAGCCACAAAACGAGCCAGCTTCAGGATCCCTCGGCAGGAGGGAAGCCGAAATCCAGCTGCCCAAGCAGGTTTTTAGGCGCGTCGCTTATTTTGTTTGGTGCTGTTTTATCTTCATACGCTCTCTTGTTGAATCGCAATTTCATATCCACAATCATCCAGTTGTTGATCGCGGGTGCTCGTAGTCGATTTTGTGTGTGTGTGTGTGTGTGTGTGTGTGTGTGTGTGTGTGTGTGAGAGAGAGAGAGAGAGAGAGAGAGAGAG